ATAGTCTTAAACATTTGTCTCTTATTAAACAGAATAACTTTTCATTATTATTACGTATATCTCCCAATATGTTCAGTAACACAATTTGTATTTCTGTAAGAAATATGTCGGAGTATAATGTTGTAATCAATCCAGCATAAACCTTATATTCCTTATATGAATCGAATACAACAATTAATCTCTTCATGCGTATATCATGGTCTTCAACTTATGTCCGCTACTGTATGTAATTGTGAAACTATGCAAATCGATCATAAAACAGATCATTTCACTTTTTGAATTAATATCATGATCATTATTAGTAAATTACATCTATCGTACATTGTTAAATGTTTTTATTCGAAGTTGCTGTTTTCTAGAAGAAATCGGTTACTTCCGTGCCGAGCTACGCGTGTTTCGAAGCAACTGCACTCTTCCGATTGTGCTTAACCCCGAGCACAAAAGGATCAGGGAAAAGTCTTACCCTTTCCCTTGGAGATTTGCCATTCGAAAAGTTTTCCCTCGGATAAGAGAGTACAAGTTCTTGTTTGAGAAGATATCGCGTGGAAAACTCGTAAGCATCGATGAGGAACGCGAGAACGGCGTGCAACTCTCATAAAAAATATTCGCAGCCGATGCTTATTATCAAATGTGAAATATACATATACATATATAAATCTCCGGTCCGATTATATCTTTTGCTATACGTCCCAAAACTTATGAATGGTGTAGATAAATCTCTGATAAACAAAAGGCGAAGCGAATAATCGATAAATTATAATTAATGCTGGCCTTGGCGACGCATGACGCTTCACATTTAATTTATCAACCAATTTAGTGAACGTGTTTTACGGCTCGACAGTGTCGACGCGCGCAACAATCCGAAATCAATCACCTAATTCGGTGGAGTCTCGCGATCGGCGTTCATTTATCAGCGCGGTTAGCTAAATTAAACAACCTGCGATGTAATGCGATCGATCCACTGATCCTCTATGGAAGACTGAATAATGGCTGTGCACTAATGATAATGAACCCAATTGTAAAAACGTCAACTCGATACAACGGCATTGAATTTTTTTTATCGTAAACCCTTTCAGTTTACAAAGAAGTTAAGACGAAAGAAGTATTTTTGATTCATTCTCCATCTGTTCTAAGGATACAAACCTCTGAAGTTTAGGAGTAGTGTTTGCTATTACTGACACAGTGACCTACTTACGCGTATCAACTAGACGTCTAGACCGGTCGGTGAATATTAGGGCAGATCCGTGAATCGGTCAACGTGCGAGGAGAATAATAATAGAGATCAGCGATCGAATTCAAGCTTCTTCCACGCTGAATAGAAAAATGCGACACCTGCTCAATTAACGCGTAATCGTATCGCAGAGAAGAAATCATGCTGTACAACACAAATCGGTGAATTTCCCGGATAAATATCCTGCTTTATAAATAAAAATTCTGCGCGCTAGCGTATTCAAAACTTTCATTCAGAGCCAAACGAGAAATATAAACAAGCAAACAAACAAACATGGGATATAAATGAACTAGCGTGGCAAATCCCGAAGTGCATACACGATCGAGTGCAACCGTGCATGTGGCGGCGAATGTCACGCGAAACGCGTTAAAAGATCATTTTTGGGAACATTTTTCAAGTCGACGTTACACGGGGTTCAAAATGAAACTAGGCAGCTGCGAAGCTGTACTCATCTATCCGCTCGCGTTAACTCCGGAAGGGAGATCACGGTTCCTATCTACGATTCATTTCCATTTTTATTCCTCGAACGAACGACGCCCTACGCGAACTTCGCCCTTATCTTATTTCGTTAAACGTAAAACGCCGTCTTGCATACGAGACAACTTCCACTGTAAAACGTCGTTGGGACGAGCTGCGTGTCTGGGAATTCGCAGCTGCACGTTGACTCGGTTAACTAATCGAAATAAAAACTTAGCATCGAACTCCAGGACTAAACTACATTTATAGGAATCGCTTAAACTACTCTAGACGAAGTTGAACGAGGTACTGTTACAGTATCTAGTTCTGCGAAACAAGGAATCGGTTAGCCGACTGGTGTTTAACCGCGGGCAGATGGAATAATGCGATTGCCAACGAAATTTTACAACTTGTCAGGCAAACGTGACACGGATGTGCCATTTCTCACGGATGGCAGCGTGAACCATGCGAGAGGGATGGACAACGATAGAGGCATGGGCTGCAAATGTCGTCATGGAAGTCCCGAAAAACAAGGGGACATGAATTACGAGCACGTCCGTCGCCGGAAGAGATATAAATGTCGGAAACGGACGAACTTCCCTGTTCCCCTCCCACTCGATTTCTTCAAATAACGATCCGCAAAAAAGACATAAATCGCTTCAATCGCCGAGTTCATCTCGCGATCTTCATGGTACATCAATTATTCTACTAAACGTAACACCGATTATTAAATGAAGCATTATAAAAAATGTAATACTAATTTATATACGAATTATGGCATCGAACATTGCATCGAACAACAATTATTATGTGAAATATATATTTATTCTCAAACACGACGATGTACCATGCAAATGTTGAAAAGGCGAATGGAAAGGAAGTGTCTTGGGATTACGCCGTAAACTTTGCGCGATGGTTTAGGTGAAAAAGATAGGAAGAAGGATGACTCGATTCAATAGCCGAAAGGAGGTCTATCAAGTTCAGCGTTCGTTCAATGGCACGTATTTCTAAAAAGATTCCTGGGATATAAATCGTTCAGGTGTGCATCCGGCTTAGTAGGTATCGCATCGATTCCACGTATATCATCGAGTAAAACGCGACTACGAAAAATGTTTGAAATTATTCTAGCGAACGAGGAAGGGTGGACGCTCAGAAACCAGCTACCACTCGAGCGTGTAGTTAGCGTATCGTGAAAATTTCCGATCTCGCTCGTTTTTTCTTCGAATTTCGCGAACCTCGAACGTCCTGTCCAGAGATCATTTCCCTGAGTGACTAATTAAAACAGAAGTTTCCCCGTTTTAATTACCCTCCCAGATTACCCGCGACGTGCTCATACACTTTTTTTTTATTTTCAAAATTACCGAACTCTGCCGAGCACAACTTTTCTTCTCCTCCGCTACCAAAAATCCCGACTACCACTCGAAACGCGTTAATTAACTAATTTCCTCGAGGAGTCCCGGGACAAAGATACGAGAGCAGACATAGAACCCGGAGTACTAGATCGCGAGGAGACGTGCTTTTAATCGAACCGTATTGTCCGGCAACGAACGCGGGACCAACGCCGGGACGACAACTCGTTCGCTGGAAATTCAATACTGCATTGTAACCGCGAAAATGGTTGGTCGAGGGGATGGGCGATGCTCGTGACGTCGGTATTTCGTACGATTTAACACCTATGGGCCAGATTTTCGATTGTCTCCGCCTCGCTCACTGCCATAAATTCAATCACGATACATTCGTGTTTTCTGCAACGGGAAACGGAAAGAGTCGCGTTCCCTCTTCCAGTCGGAATGGATATTTCCCTTTTTTTTTTTGCGAAGGTACCGATCTTTGAGGGAAGCTGATTCTTCGAAGCGAGTTAATCAACTAATTGCTGTCCAATACCTCTTAGCCCAAGTTCAATATCACTGATCGATGCGACACCAATACCAGCGCCACACTAGTATTCGATAACACGGTGCAAGTTTTCTAAAGAAACACGGAAAGACAATCGAGCGACAGATGTAATCGGATCAGACTGTTCAGTTGACCCGGATACTTTTAGTTTCCGGTAATCCGCCAGAGGATGAGCGGGCGGTGCTATAAAAGCCAGGAAAGAAACGGGGAATCCGATCCGGTCAGGCCTCCGGGGAATTCGGTGCTTGATAGGATAAACGAGGAAAGTTCCGCGTTGACACGCTAGCCACCTCCGAGATCAAACGAACGAAACAACACTGCGGAGGCGAATTTTGTACCGAGCCGAGGCACCAGCTGTTTCCTCCATCCGCGACTGTCAACAAGAGTCCATCCACTGATTGGAGAAACTATTCCAATTTGTTTCGATCCCATCCCTTTGATTAACAAATTAAATACGACACGATAGAACTTAAACAATTCTGCAACCTCGATCCTATCACCGTCACATATCATTAACGTATAATATTTTTCTGATCGTTTTTCCCAAATAGGATAATTCGTATAATGATTGATACTCTGAAACGATTATTACGTCAATTATTGCATCAATCATTATATGAAATATTGTATTAATCTTGATTATAATATTTATGACCGACAGCAGTGTACGACATAAATGGATGAAATTGCAAATGATTGTAACGTAGGAAATATTTAATAAGATTCTCGATCGACTGGAAGCGAATTTTACGAGCGATAAAATCGTGAGAGAGACATCGAGCCGAATAGGAAATCGAAATTGCGGGGGAGAAAATAGCGTAAAAGCTGACTGCGCTCGGTCGAACATCGACAACTAATTCACTTAAAGACACCGCTATCGGTACAATATCCCAGCGGGCGAATTCCCAGCATGATGTTTCATCCGCGAAATCGGCCCGTCAGTCGATACAGTATTTGCGGTGACAATTTTTCCACCCACCGCCCCGATACAAGAGTTATTTGGTTTACGGCCATCGGAAATCGTTTTGTTCATCAGGACTCCGTTCATAAGTCTTAAAACGCTATAAAAAAATCTGGCTGTTCATAGTCGAACACTATCTCGTCGATCGTGTATCGAATCGTACAAATAATTCTCTGACTATTCACGAAGATATGAACTTTTCTGCGTTCGTACTATTAGAACATCTGAATCGACGAACCGGAAACATTTTCCCTTTGACCTTTAAACGAGAAACGGGGCTGCGATAAATTGACGGAGTCCAACCTTCGGCAAGATTAAAGCGAGATTGAAACCCCTGGTTCACAGAGGTCTCGCGAAAATCACAATCGTTTTGGTAAGAAGATTCTTGAGACTCAACGATGACGTCCCGCAATTGGCCGCGTTCCAGGGGAAAAGTGAAAAGAGATCCAGCCAAGCTCGATCGATCGAATACGCAAATGTTGGAAGAAAAGGTTTGGAAGCGTCGGATAAGGTTACGCCTTCGTTTCCGAGCTCGACGAGAATTTCATCTGGGATCACTGGCGCAGCTATAATTCCATCCAAGCTGGAAATTATTGAAATATGTAAAAATTCAGTAAAATCTTGCTCTCATCTCGTAAGAAATAACTCAATACTGGAGTTGGACTCTTGGAGCTGGACTCTCCCAAGAAAAAATCGTATCGTATGCCAATGCTTGGGATCTTCCCATCTTCCTGAATAGAAACGAACGTCGTTCTAATTCTAAAACAGAAGGTCATCTACGATAGCGAGCATAAAATGCGATGAAGAGATAGAGAGACTGTTGGCGATAAAACAAACACGACGGATTACGGAAAAGCAGGCGATGCGGGTACAGAAGCATCGATAGTGACGCGAGATGAAAGATAATTCACGGTAATGCACGAGAAGCATTAGCTGGCACGCCCATCGTTCGACTTCATTTTTCATTTCCTTCATATTTCGTCTCTTCCCGACACGTTAGAAAAAACGGAATAACCGATCAGTTTCTCCTTCCCGGGAATGTACCGTAGAACGCGCTCACCAAAGTATTCAAGATACCCCGAAAATCTGACCCACATATTTTCCAACGATATGCCAGCTGATTTACAAATTCCCCGTCCCACGAACTGTACAAACCTTATGACAACTACTCTCAGATCCTACATCGAGATACTTTACAATCTCGATTATTAAGATCGAGCTTTAAAAGAGAACCCGATATTTTTCAGGCTTTAGGGCACACAGGCACCTTTTCTAACTCAACGATTGGATAAACTCGGTCACTACCTCTCAATTGTACATACGCGCACCGAGCACAGGGTTGACGGATCTTTTGTCTGAAACATTTTTTAAGAATTTCATCGTTCTGATTGCAGTATGTTTCCGGGACGAGTACAAGCGGCGAGGCGAGCCGCGTCAGTTACAGTAGCGTGAGCCAAAGCAGCGACGGAGGAGTCGGAACCATTTTGCCAAGCGGCGGGATTTGACGTCACACGGGGGCCCGGTCTGGGCCTCGTCGGGAACGTGCAATTCGTTTCCGAGATACGTGATTGTAGTTTTTCACATGCGAGGATTCGACGTGGAAATTTTGATATTGAAACGAGGAACCGCGTTGAAAAAACTAGTCATTGACACTTGAACACCCGGCTTAATTAATTAATTTATTAAACGTAAATGCAACGCTGGATATTTAAGTGTTAATAAACGATCCTCTCGGCTAATAAAAGAAAGAAGACTGTCTTTCACTTTCGAAGGAAAATAGAGTTGGTTAAGGGAAGCCAGGAAATTGAACGGGCCCCATGGTGACGAGACGAATCGAGGGTTCGTGAAACGAAACGCGACGTGTTTTCCCTTCGAGTTTTACCGGCGGCGAAAAGTGGACCACGAAGAAGAAGCGTCACGCGCGACCCGGGACGCCAGAACAATTTGCGCCCTTGTACATAAAAGAGTAACAGTAGTTTCGCGTTTTGTACCATCGCCGAAGGAATCGAGTTTGCGAGCAAAGACAGCGCCGTAAATCGAGCCAGACAGGCTCATTTCCCTTTTTACGTTCGGATACTTCGATAGCCTTTTAGCGAATCACACGGAATCATAAATACAGCTGCGATCGGTACTGCGACAAGATTTCCATCATTTAACCCGTAACCGGCTTTGTAGGAGATACATATGTATTTAATTCATTGTGTAAAATATAAATATAGAATCCTCGTTGATCAGAGGAGTAAAAGTTAATTTATGCGAAATCTCATTAAATATATAAAAGCATCCAATGCTGATTTAGGTTTGAAAATTACCAACTCTCATAACGTATAATTATTTTGGAAGAGAGAGAGAAAAAGTTTGACGACGCTGGCTGCGGGTTAAACGCATTAAAAATGAATATTGTTTCGTTTCGATACGGTTGATCATTGCCCATTTCTGGGAACCGTGAATAGGACTTCACGAAATATAGCCTTACGTTGAACGTATGAATAAAAGACTGATCGAACATTTACGCAGTATTGTAATAACCACATAAGCACGTCTCGTGCTGATTAATTAGTAGATCACGGATGCTTAAGAAGAAGTGAAACGAATCTTAATTTCAACATCCGCAATCTATTAATAATACGAATTATGCACGAAGATGGTTGAAAATGATTACTCACGTTCAGCAGGTTTCCTGTAGACAGTGATCCCTCGTGTCGATACATTTCCGAATGGTAGGAATGAAGCCAGAGAGCACATAACGAAGAACGTGTGGACCTAGCGATGAACGAAGCAAAAGAGTGAGAAGAGGAAGACGAAACACTTGTCGCGAGAAAATTGACACCGTGTCCTAGAAAAGATTACGCACCCCGAGCGCGAACGAAACAAGACTGGGTTGACTTTGACCTAGCGACGCCGATCGCCAGGTGGTTCCTCGAACTTTGTTTACATCAGCGCGAAACGAATAACAAGGCCGATGTATCTTAACCGAATAAGCAAACCAATTGTGTATAGCCTGATTAATGTTCAATAGCATGATTTCGACATACACCGTGGCGTTGATCGCCGATCGTGTGAACAAATTGTACGTTGTATGTATTGTATCTACGTACCCGTTGAATTCAGTTTGTGAGTTAATTCGGTCGAACTGATGCTCTACGTGTTGTTTAATTAATTAAATATTACGCGATCGTTTTCTCTATTCACGGAACGTGTCTGGACGTTATACGATTATCATGTAATGGACAATCTTTATTCGATAGACGGATACATGCATATGTACGTACCACCTCGTCCACTCTCGATAGCGGATATTTTTGCAAAAGACGACTACTTATTTTACCACGATTATCTTCGACCGTTAGAGAGTTCATCGTTGTACATAATACATCACCGTGTAATTGTAAATATTAGAACAATCGAGTTATGTATGTAAAACGTATACGTAATGTATGAGAAATTGTAACAAAGCGTGTGTATCAGTATGAATATATGCAAACGTTTCTTCGGACAAAAGTACACGGCATTAATTTAATCCTATCTTCGCTGAACAACAAACGGTTAACGAGATATTTGCTGTTCAGGGAAAATCACGACATATTCGCTTGTTACGATTAATAATTATTTGCATGTAAGACTAAAACCTGGCTAGCTACTAACCATGTATCGCAGAAAATGGAAGAACCATTGATGTGGAAATAAATGAATGACTTTCCTCGGAGTTCGAATCAACGAAGACTAGTCTGGTCGCTTCATCCAGAGAGAATTCATACTGTTTTCACTCAGCAATTCGTTCATTCTGCTTATGCAAACTCTTAACGCAGTAAAGCACCAACTTTTTCATTAAACCACGTATTTCTAATTAACAGACTTCACTGTCTCTGTTCACTGAACTACTAAGTAATCAACAACCGGTGCTTGCTGTCGAAATTCTTACGAAAAAAAATGGCGCGAAATTACAGTCTTGCCAAGTTTCACAACCGCGCATGCGTGATTAAACAAGGATAGACAGGCATCAGTATCAGCTTTCTCTCTTCATCGCCCTACCGACTTTTCAGTCCGGTCGCGCGGTGTTCTTCGGAGCGGGAGATTTGAAAACAAATTATAATTTGAGAAATATTATCCATTATTAATTAAATGACGAACAAGATATATTATTTAATATAACTAATAAGTTTATTCATTTACAATACATATTTCGCGTACAACATGACTTTTCTACGACTGATATTTCATTTATTTTATATATTATAGAAACATATTCTTGTTCACTGTAGCTTATCACAGCAATGTCTCTAATACCTACCACTGATTTTATACAATGTATGAAAAAAAAACATAAAAATGCATTCCTTCTAAAATGATTGGGAAATATTGGATGCTGTACAAACGGTAGGAAAAAGATTGCGAATATAACTAACGTATAGTTACATCATTGTTAAAATTGATTCATGACGATTTGTTGTTTATTTGAAATAAACAGTTTCTTGTCAAAGTTTTCGTTACATTTTTATATTCTCTGTAATATATTGTAATATTGTTAAAAGAATTTGGGCGTGAATGGATCGCGTTCTGTTTTATCTTTGGTGCGTATTGATCGTTCTTGCGTACGTGACACATCGTGAATCATCGATAAAATGCATTTACATAAAAAACAATTATTGCAAAGTGTCTTTACCACCTAATGTAACTTTTGTACTCGTCAGTTATACTGAATCTTTTAATAGTTTCGTATCCTAAAATTATTGAGAAACTAAAACAAGCAGACTGTACAAGTCGTGCCGAGAGTCCTTTCGTGAACATCTGCAATCTTTCCTCGACCCAGAGGACCTTGAACGCGCTGAACATACTATCTAATCTTTGTACTTGTAACCTTGCCCGTACAATGTCCAGAGGATTCGTGATAATAGTGGTGGTGAATCCTCCCAGTGTGCCAGCAACAGCTTGAATAAACAAGTGGGAAACCCACTCTGGAAACAACTTTACGAGCTCTTCTGTTAATAGAAAGAAAATATATATTCAATCAGCATACGAATTTATTGATTGACCTCGCGTTCCTTTAATTCAAGATACCTACCTTGATAGGAGGTGTATAATCCCCACCAAAGAGCACTGTTGGGAACATAAGCGCACAACGATGCAACGTATCCCCTATAAAAGCCTCTGTACCCATCTGTCTGATAAATCGATTTAATGATATCAGCTGAGATCTGAGCACGAGTTTTTCCTGGTTCAAGAGTTAAACCCAGTGGATTCATACCCATCTGCAAACGAATAGAAGCAATGAACAAGTAGAAACGATTCATTTTATGTCATTATTTACCTTGTCTATGAATCTCCCTTGTTTACCAGTATTGAACCCAAGAACCATTATGTGCTGACTTAAGACATCGAAGGGTACCACTATTGTCTGGCCTACTAAACTAGCAGCTCCACCAGCAATTAACGACTTGACTCTTGAATCTAAATTACCTATAACACCGTGTTGCCCAAGTATATGACGCACGCCTTCGTACGTAGACACGTAAAATACACCAGATACAATTTGTATAGAACTTATCCAAAACCCTCTATATAGGCCAGCCAAGCCTTCAACTCTGTAAATCTTCTTGCAAGCGTCTACCATCCCTGAAAGTATCAAAGTACTCTAGTATGTGAAAAATTCGATCCACCTTCAATTGCAAACTTACCATTGTACATATAGTTGTGTCTTTGAACTTGTAACCGAGTTTTGATTACTGTCAAGGGGTATAGACAACAGCGTACAGAGAACGAAGAGAGCATACTCAATGGAAAGAACTTTGTCTTGTCCATCATATCCCATTCGATGGTACGAATGAAAGGTGGTGTCTCTACCGCAGACATCTTGTACATTTACAGCACTATCAGGTTCAGCGTATTGAAAATATTTGTATTGCAAGGATCCTGGATGTCTTTGTTCAACTTGATGCTGCATATCTCATTGGTAATTTTTGGGGATCAATACCCAAACTGTTCAAAGAACTAACAAACAAAACATGTTTGTACACATTTCCTACCACTTATCTATCTAAAATGGCTTTATTAATACACATGTTTTAATAATAGAACAAACGTATTTTGAATTCGTCAAGTTGTATACATATTATCATGTACATTTACATATTCGCCTGTTCATTGTTTAATAACTAATGAAAATATCTCGTAAACCTCGTAGTTAACTGAAATAATTATCGTCTAGTCACGATGTAAATACACGAAAGGTTCGCTCAGAGAATAATATATTTTCGTAACGATTCGTACACGTCTCGCTATGCTCGTTGCCTACGGCATTATACAAGTATGAAGTCCATCGTTCGACTTAAAAATAACGCTGGATAAACTTACGATGATGTAATACACTGTCACGATGATAAATTCCTTCCAGCGATTACAATCCCCATCGATAGCCGCATTAGAGTAAGGGCAACGATTTTTCACAACGATGAAACGTGCGTATCGTAACAAAATTCATTGTCGTACACTTAGCTCGGGCTTGGTTTCATTCAGCGACAATGCAGTCACGTCGATTCACGATTTACACATTAATATCAAAAGCACGAGGCAGCAGAAGTCAAAGGAAAATGTGATCTAAATTGCTTCATGATTCTGCGCACATGTGCTATATCGTGAGAAGGAACGGGTCAGTAGCGAAACCAGCGAAACCCATCAGCAGAGATACGAAGCAACACCGTAGGAAATACCGAAAGATGCCGCGAGTGGTATCGATGATACTGCGATCGAAGATGTATCTTCTGATAACGAAGAGATACCATCGGTGGAACAACTTATCATCTACAGGAAATACCACCCTTACGATTCAGGAATTATCGAGTCAGGAACGAATTCTACGACGACTGTACAGGGTCTCTATTTCTCAGTATCCCTGACTTATAAACTATCTTAAACTTCTTATTGTTTCAATGAACATTTAATAGAAGCAGTCATTGGACTTCTACGGTAATACTTTTCACCCCCTTTCACTAATGATAATATCTAATACATATTATATGTGTATTATAAAAAAGAAGATACAAATGAATTATTAAATTGAATTCCTGTATTAAAATTGAGTAGAAAAATTAGTAACAAATGGGACATGGAGTTAAGGCAAGATTAACAGAGAATACGGGTGCAAAGAGGTGTTCTCGAAGTACAAAGCTCCGGAGAGAAAGGTCACCAATGATTTCCAGGCTCCGCCTACCGAATAGGGGTTGGAAGCAACCCCTAGGAAAGCCGAACTCGCGCAGGGCTGATTTCTCTGGCACGTTGGGGGCGTAAACGTATCGAGGACACAACCCCCGAACGCATACACCCCGTCTTTTCACTATTCGTCGAGATCAAATCACTCGTCTCAGTCCTATCTTTGATCTTGTCGGTGCAGCAACGTGACTTCGAAATTACGCGACAGTTCGTGTGACACGTTGATAACTTCGATCATTTTGTGACGAGAGTTGATCAAGCAGAAAACTGAGCAGGTGTCGAGAATGAACCAGGATCAGGAAGTACCTGCCACCACGACGGAATTGGCCAGGCTGGTAAGTCGCTTAAAAATTTCGTTGTGCCCTCGAACAGTCAAGATAAAACAACTATAGAAACAACGCTAAGCAACAATTCACGTATCGGATAAATTGAAACTATAGTCATCTAAAGAGAATTCCATAAACGTGTTTGAAGGTTAAGAAATAGGTAACGGGACCCTCGCTTCCGGTTCCCTCGCTCGGCACAATGGAGTCATAAGCGTGGACAGTGAAGTCAGTAAACGCATAATGCACGCGATGATCCTCGAGTGTCGAATTGCCGTGGCACGCGTCACCACGGTCCGATGGATCGTCCCACGGGTGCCACCCCTTTTGTGCCCTCTAAACACGTAATTGTCGCCACCATTCAACCCTCCTGGTCCCCTTGCTACGGTACACGGAGCCACTGCCGTGACTATGACACCGGCGAGCCGTGGGTGGCCGGGCACCCTCGACAGCGGCCAAAGGGAGCCGCGGAAACACTTGATTTATGTTTGTTGATTCTAAAAATCGCTCGATTCCCACACGCCCGCCCCGTCGGTTAATTGACTCCAGTACCAGTAGCATATGCTGCCACTCGAGTTTCCCATGATCAGAGACCCTTGTCCGACACCGTGTAAATTTACCTGGGACACTTCCCATCGCTTTATTTTCTGATCGGACGCCGTAAAATTCTCGTTAGAAATAGAAGAGCTCAAAGAACTGTTTCCTCGTTACGAAAAATTCGTGTCCTCGGACAGCAATTAGTAGATAGACTCCGCGGGTGACACATTGTAATCTTGAGTCCCGCTGTCATCCTTGGTATTGTATCTTCGAAACCATCATTGTCTTCGCACCCTCGTAACAGGCGACGGAAAGAAAAAAGGGCGAGGTTTTCCCGACGAAAGTGGCAACGCCTTCTGCCTTTCCTAATTGATCAAATTGGACGAGCTCCTTTTGTCGAGATCGTAAATGAAAAGGGAATCGCAGTTTCGCTTGTCTACGGGATTCTGTAAATCTCGCTTTTCCGACGTTAAACGTTCCTCGTTGCGAATTATTGTAGTTTATGAATCTCTTCGAAAGGTATGAAAGTTTTTACAAGAATCGGTGAACAAGATTCGGCAATAGGAGGAGTTCGGAACGTGTTGTTTGCCGGATGACTTTATTATAAACCGAACCGAAGTGCGCAATTACGAGGGTGGTGTAGAATTGGGGTGACGACCCTTCGCAGCATCATCAGGAACGATGGGGCGTTCCCCCTCCCGAATTCATGGGCATCTCGTTTTCACTAGGTACAAACGCACGAGTACGTTTGTTCGTACATGACACACGTACCCCAAACGATCCACTTACGAGCAAGTCTTTTACACCGAAACGCGTTTCCCGATGGGAAACATCCACGGGTATAAAGGGGGCTCCGGGAGAAAAAGTTAAACGGCACGCGACTATGTTTGCTCGTTTTCCTTACGACTCATTGCTTCGCGATCGCACTCGATTAATTCCTGATCGGCTCCATTAACTTTTTTCATACGATACAGGCCGTAAGAATGAGTAGTTAGCACGATGCTTCATTGAACGTTCGATACAATTCGTGTAGTAAGTAATTGATGTAGCGAAAGTGTTATCGAGAGGCAGAAATATGTTTTTCAATTTCACACGCATCGACGTGTAAAACCGCGAGATGAATATTTTATCCGTCACTTAACTATGTCATGGCTAAACACGGTTTGATATCGGGTTGGCAGGATCAAAGATTAATCGTAATGTCGGTGAATGTAATTAAAATTTATATCGGGGGGGGGGCACAGGCTGTGGATTACGAGTGCTGAGCCATCGCGGCGACTAATTATAAATGACTATTAATTGAAATCAGAGGCGAATCGACGGGACGAGGCAATGAACGTAAGACCCGACCCGTGAAGCTATGAAAAAGGAAGTTGATCACGTCCCTATAAATGATAATATCCTGTGGAATTAACTATAAGAGAAAAACGGTTGATGTTCAGCTTAAAGTGATTATCATCGCGAAATACTTTAACTTATAATGTAATACTTCGGAAGCTGTAGTTATAAACTATTTAAAATACCAGCACGTGTATCAAGATCGATCGAACTGTTTGGAAAACAAAACACGGTGGGTTTGTTCGATTTTGAAGTGTAAGCGATCGGCAGAGGCCGCGATGAAACTTCGTAAAGGAAAAGCAGACGGCGACAGGGCGTTATTGGAATTTCCAAAACCGGTAACCGGCTTTACCACTAGATTGCTCCGCAAGGAGGAAACCATCCAATCGTTCACCGGATGTCCTCCTTGCCTTCTCTCTCTCCCTGGCGTTCCCTCTCCTTTTCTCCTCTTCTTTCTCATTGTGCCTTAGCTACGTTGCTTTACTTAAAATCTTGTTCGTTTCTACTCGAAATCGCTTCGCGCCTTCCTGCGGTTTTACATCAATTCCGTGTCGATTGTCTTTTTTCTCGAATGCCACCGAGAAAGCGAGAACTTTTTCATGCTCGAGCGAAAGAGAACTGTTTCCCAGGGAATCGATTCTTTACGTCGCTGGTATTAAAATGCTGAAATATTCAATTGTCATAGAAGCTAAACCGCTCTCGAGGTACAACGGGAAAGCAATTGTAACACGAGTTCTATACTTTTAGACGAACGAGGAGTTCAACAGAGTAAACGAACCGCTTCAAACCGTAGCCACGGGATACTGCCCTACTAATTTTTCTGTGGCACAAGTGAACAACGAAGAAAAACTACACCCCGGTGAGTATAAGACTCATAATAATTAAACTGTGGACATTAATGCAAATCTAGATACGAACTTCTGATTTTCTTTATGTTCTTGAACACGTTTCATATTTTTCGTACATTTTCTCTATAAATGCATAAAACCTGCAGTCTAATAATAATAGGAACCTTAAAGAAGTTTGCTCGATTCGCAAGTTATTCGCGACCCTGCGAGGGGTTTTCTCGAACGAAATCGACGACGAGAAAGTCGAGGGCGGTCCACCATCCCCCGGATTTTCAAGCTCTTTGATACGACGTTGCCCGGGAACATCGAATCTCGTGATACTGCGTCTTCGGCTGCGGCGAACACGTACACACGTACCTTGTACACGCAGCAAAGAAGGCGTAGCAGCGTGCCTTCGAAGCACGTGCAGGATGTACGCGAACTGTGTACAACGGAACGAAGGGGCAACCACCCCCTGAGGAGAGCCTGTCACCGGCAGGCAGTCGAGTCGATATCTTTATATAGTCGCATCGTCGATGATATTATTTTCTGCTGCAATTACGTTCCAAGACTCCTGACTCCTTCGCTCCGTTTGTCACAGAATCAGATTCACTCAGAAATCCAGCTTGTAATTAGTAGACTCTATGCAATTCCAAAATAATTAGATCTGCAGAAATGTTCATACATAAAAGCATAGTACATTTTTGAAGAGTGAAAGAAATCTCAAACCAGATTTCAAGTTTCAATACTGTTGCGAAAGATACATTCTGCACTAGAATCTATAATATAACTTAATAAGTAGTGGCACATTGGCAGTATCAGTCTGTTCGATAATTTGATGAAGCTAACGAGCCGGGGCATCTATTAGTGTCGTGGTATCGGTAGTTTTACTTAGCCTTGACCCAGAAACAGAGGAGAAGCCTGAGGACGAATTCAATAAGCAACGTATTATCGCCGCAAAGAGCCCCCATGGGGTAGCTGTACCCCCACAGGATTCGTAACCACCCCAACGTCGTCTGGGCACGGTGATTGACACTTTATATCTAACATTGGCATGCGGTGGTGTGAACCACCAGTCAGGATGGTCCGCCTCCGCCTAACTCAATCACTGCCTATAATGCTGCAATTTCTCTAGCGTAATCGCGTTACCTCACCCTCATCCACTTTTCGGTGACGATTCGCCGTGGAAAAACCCGTACCGTTCACGTTTCTTTTTCAGCATGAATTCGAACAAAATCAAAACGAAAATACTGCTATAATATATCGCCTGTAACGCTGACCATGACAATTCGTCGTACATTGAAAGAAATCTTTTGACTAGGTACTTAATTTTTCTTTATTTGGATCATGTTAATAAAATTTTTCACGCGGCACGCGTTATTACCCACGGGCTATGAAGCTGAAATAAATTCGATTCGTCAGACAGGATTGTGACCGCGAACAAAACGAGATTACTGACAAGTGGCTACCCGTAGCGAATCCTAGAGACCCATTAAACGGACCCCAAGCATACACGTCGCATTCTTATGTACATGAAAGGGGTTGTTTTTGCTACAGATTCATCCCCCAACGCTTTGTTCCTTTTTACACCCTCGCCTCTCGTGGAATTTTATTAGACATCATCGAATCGTCGCATAATTAGTTGCAAGGTCGGTTTTACCACGATAGTTAATTGTAATATGAACAAATATTTGCTGGGATAATTATATCTTGGAACGCTCGTTGCTATCTCTGGCGATAATGAATATTCATTGAAGTTGACGAAGTAATATCCTAGAATATACGGAGCATTAATCCCGCGGCGAGATAATTATCTCCGAGTAACCATTAATCATCGCTACGAACTAATTCCCCGCTTTGATTCATAAAGAAGAGATTCATGGTATAAGGAATCTGACATTCGTCTAGCCAAAATCTCGCTGCTCTTATCAGCAAACCGAGATAAACGTTGATAAGAAACTGACGTTATTCGTTTTCTGTATAACATATATTCTATACATTTTATTTACTTTTGACATAATTAGAAAAGAGACGATTTTTTTATTTCGAATTCTAAGACAGGTGTTCTATGAACTTGATTTCAGAAAATGAAATATATCCTACACAGGAATATAGACAAGAGCCTTGGCTTCAAGATGGTAAGTGAATTTTGTTATAAATAATTTGTTTAACAATAATGAAACCTAAAAAAGAATTTCTATGTCCATTGAGACGCCCGGGTTGTAGGCCTAAATAGCTCAGTCGGTAGAGCATCAGACTTTTAATCTGAGGGTCCAGGGTTCGAGTCCCTGTTTGGGCGTAATATTTTTGCATTTTTACTTATTTAACCATTTACAATTTATTATAAAAATCTCTTTTAACGTCTGACGGTTTATCGCGAGTAAAAAGAGGAAGTCAATTTTTACTTTCTTGTCAGTATTCCTGGCATGGAAGCATAGAATACAGCTTTCTACGTTTCTAACAACAAAACCATCGATGTTTATCGCCGTTTCCATTAACTTGATTGAATTATGAAACGCGAAGCGTAAGTGTAACGCTTTAAAACGCCCAGCTTCCGTTCTACTTTCCGTACAATGGTACGAGACAAGGGTTCTGAAAACTATAAGCTCGCAGTTCATTCCTTGCGAACTTTGCTTCGAACATGAAAGAAGAGATCCATTTATCGTGAACCTTCCCCGAGAACGATTAGTTACAGCGGCTTGACTATCCGGAACATTAATTCTGATTACTTTGACGAACTGTAACGTAATGCACGATGCAACGTAATAATCGCCCTAACTAGGGGACTTTCAGTCGATAGCAGAAAGACGACTGAGAAACCGTTCCTTAAAACTCTAGTACATTCCCTTTACTTTCTCATCTCTACAAGATCTTCCCACCTCTTTCTTCCTGTAAGAGATGATTTCGTATTGCAGGCAGTAGCTGCGAAACGGAAGACAGCGAGCAGTACGTGCCAGAATTCCATCGGATGTCAAGTTAGTGCAGTTTATTTTTTATCAAATTTTCATCCTGCGATTCTAAACGCGATTCGCGACGATTTCCTGACGAGATCCACCTAATTGCTAGTTCCAATCATGTGAACCGCGTTCCTCGAAGGAAACCAATCTCGCAGAGGCGGCAGCCGCACGGAAATGTACCACATATTAGGAGGTTCGGAAAGTACCTCGACACAGTTTGCTAGACTCGTGACGGACGATTCGCTTTGAAACCTTCGCGTTAAGATTATCGAATAATGTTTTATTTGAGAGAAGGGCCTTTCCCACGTGTTCGTTGAAAATGAGATTTCTTCCACGGGAGAGTCAATATCGACGAGGATATTAAAAAGGCCGACGAATCGCCCGGGGCCGGTGTTTTTAAAGCGGCAAGAAAGAATCAACAGAAAACTCCCGTCGATTATCGATATCGTGTTACACGAGGAAGCACTTTATATTAAGTCCGACAAATTTTTTTCCTCCCCTGATTAGCGTTCTCGATGCTTACCGAATCGCAATATCAATATATCTTCCGATCCTTAATAAAGTTAGCTGCACCGCTCGGATAATAGCTCCTCTCAGATGCGGCTTACATCTATTGCGCTGTTAATTGAATTGCGATATCGGTTCCTCTTTTCATCGTCGAGATTTGTTAGTTTCTTTGGGCCGCGTCTGCACGCGCGCTCGTCAGCAAAATCTGGCAAATATTTCGATACGCGTCGAACAGGCGAGCAGATAACCGGCAGGAATGGCGGATAATGTCTATATGTTTAATCGCGCACACGCGGTTTCATCCACGTGCGTGTGTTAACTCGACAAAGAAAATCTCGCGCATGTATCTCGCACGTGCAACGAATAACGGATTTATGAAACGTAATTATACCCCGAGGGCCTTCCATTATCAAATATACATTCTAACGAACTCAATCCGCGCAATCAATGCATGTATATATTTTTATGAATGCTTTAGATATTTCATTCATGAGAGCAGCAGTTTGAAATCTATTGTAATCGTGGATTAATATGATTTTATTAATGGTACGTTTCGCGACACCACGTCAAATTTGCACTTCGTCCGGTATAATTTTATCCGGTGGTCGAAGATCGGTTCGTTCGTTTGCAATGAGCGTGCAAACACGCCGATTCCCCTCCGAGGCAAATAGTCTGATCACAGATTCGCCAATAAACTTTTATTCCAGCTATTGTTTACCGGACGTTGTTGTGCAATATACGTAACGTTGGCAAAAAAGATTTTTCAATTGTTCCCACGGATATTCCATTTAAAGCGTACATTTATGGATCTCGAAATACACCAAAAATCATTTGTACATGCAGAGAATGTCGATTCGCTAATCCGTCGATCAGAAAACAATTTATGCGATCTGCGATCGTATCGTCGAATCGGATCGAGTCGGCGGTTCTCCCGTAGCGAGTAAACTTCCGATGTTTGCAAATACAATGATTGCCGGAGGCCTCTGACTTATGCTTCCCACGGCGCGGAGTCTGTTTGATTTATCGGGGGCGCACCCTCGGCCTCGCGCAAAATCGTCGACGGCCCCATTAGGAAGCGAGTCCGACCCCCCCCACGTGCCGCTGCAGCGATGCGCCTTCGCTTCCGCCACGACACGCGCCCTTATGTCCTCTTTTCTAAGGAACGATCCTACGATCGTTCAAACCATTGACCGTTCACGTGTATATCCGTCCTCCCCCTTCGAATCGCACTTTTCTTACGTTCAAACATTTCTCATGCGTAGCGTAACGATGACATAACTTGAAATCACGATTTTGTTAGTTTTAAGGATGTATTGGCTATACAGTCAATCCCAAAAGTTTATGCACTTTAGAAACGCATTTTTTAAAAAGAAATCAGACGTCGGAAGAACATTGCTAATAATAAACAACAAAAACAAATTTTCGATTTTGTCCGAGATTTTTCCAAGGGATACCCCTTCAATTTCTTCCAAATTTTCGTTTTTGGCCAATAACTCCCAAACCGTTGGACATACGGAAAAATTGTATACGACCTTTCTTGTAGAGGACGACGAGATCTACAATTTCCATGTAAAAGTTTCTTGCTACTGTCAATAGTTAACGAGTAATTTGCAAAAAACTGTTTTTTCGTTTTTCGTCCATAACTCTTTAAATATTAATGGTAGCGGAAAATTTTTATACAGGAATTGTAGATCTCGTCGTCCTCTACAAGAAAGGTCNCGTCAATACTTAATTGGATATTTCCTTCTATACTTTTTAGCACGTAACTATTTATTATTAGCATTATTCTTCCGACGTCTGATTTCTTTTTAATTATAGGAAATGCGTTTTTCTAAGGCACATAAACTTTTGGGATTGACTGTATAGCCAGTACATCCTTAAGAGAAGCAGGTATATTAAAAAGTGCAATAAAGAACACAATGTATTAATTTTAATTTCTCTCATTGCTCTCTCTTAGACGCGAACTGAATGAACGGTCCTATGCCTCATGCTCGAGAGATCCTTCTCCTGTTAGATCGTTAGACTATGATCCTATTTCATCTATGATATGGGAATGTGTTTCTCTGTAAACTCAAAAGCATGTTTTCGTAGGGTTGGATTTTCTCTATAACTTTAGAATACCTTATACATAAAATTTCCTGTGTATACGATAAGGAAAATTGATAAAAGATTATCATTGATTTTTGTATATATATCCATAGATTTGTTCATTTCAAAAATCTTATAATTTTTAAGTTCTGTTGTTGCAATCATATTTGCTTTTTCTTTCTGATAGACGCTAGCGTGAAACAGGAGTCGGCTAATTGCAGAAGAGTCACCGATGCCAATTACACATACCAGGCATCGGTGAGTCACTCACAGGGTAGCACTTTTTTGGATCTCGACCCGGATCGCAGTAATTGCTTCGGGTGAGTATACGAAAATCGGTAAAATGTTTTGAAATCATGAAAAATAATATCGAACAGAAGTACCAAACGGACAACTGAAGCCACGAAGAATATCGCTGTGGTGAAAGAAGAGCCAACGGACAGAGGGTACGGAGATCCGATCTCGGTGGCGAACATACCCACGACGACGTCTCAAGACAGTCGAAACGGTAAGATAATCTAATAGAGTTTGATAAATCTACTGCAAATTTTATACATTCGTACGAATCTGTGTAATGTCACATTCTGCATAAAAATCTACGGTCTATCGAATGAAATAATGGAGTAGTCATCGGTGCTGAGACAAATTGAGCTCGATGACACTCGAACGTGTACCGTGACAAATCCGATGACAATGGAACCACGTGGCTCTACCCCATAGGTCCCATAAATAACTGGAGCGCAGGGAACGAGCTCGCTGTTCCATTAATCGATCTAGCTACGTTCTTCCGGTTTCTACTTTGGCAGTTCTCCTTGTATCTTAATCGTGATACAACATCGTACTTTGCGAATTGATCGAATTCTGTGCCGAATAAACTCGCGCGGAAGCGCAGTATATTTTGAGGAACGTTTTAACGCGAAATTCCTTGATAATCCCGGACAACGCTCGTCGCTGTGTACAACGGAGTCGCTCACGCGTGACTAAGTACACGTAAGTGAATAATTGAAGAATGCTTTCAACTCGCAAGCTGCGGAGAAGCGCTTCGTAGAATCCAGCGAAAGCTGCTAAACGAAGGAAAGAGCATGGAATTCTCTCCCCGGGGAGATTTCAAGTCGCGAGAGTTCTCTGTGCAATTTTTAACCGTGCTCCGTTTTCACGAATAAGTATCGCGTTTCATAAAATTCTCAATAAACGCGTCGCATCGGAGTCAATTACTTAGCATGGCTCGAGGTCGAATCTGATCGTACAAGCTGAGGTTTGCAACCTCATCGTTTGTAATCAGGCCGATTAGGCTTTATTCACGCACGTATGTACCTACACCGAAAACGAATCCTTTAGGTCGGTATACTCGCTGCCCGACACCACGCGCGTATATCCATTTACTTCCAAGTCACCCGGGAATTATGCTTCTACTTCTCTTCGCGTAATTCTCCCTCCCATTAAGCCGTTTCAATTATTTACACGCAGTTTAGATTAGTAATAGGATTATACGTATCGCTATCGATAGGCTCACATATGCACTCGAAGGAGGTTTGCCTGTTAAATGTCGACTTGAATGAAATGATCGATAAACATTACGAAGATCGAGTGCATATCCTACCCTGTGTAGCCTAACTAAACCGGACAATCGGTGACCAATGTAGCGGGTGGAATAGTAATAACCGGTTAATGGACACAGATTGGTCACCACCAGCTAATTAATACCAGCCCGTGGATCACGAGGATTAGAGCCGGTCCAAGTTCAGCCATAAACGCTAATCCTCGATACGCTATATCGACAAAATCGACACGGTTGATTCAACAAAATTGAATAGAATTAAATAATGAATTTTGTTGAATATATATATAGTATTATTGAATTGATATAATATGATACATACTACTATTGAATATATATTATTGAATTGATTTGATAATATAATAACAATTGTTACGATTCGTTTCGATCGGATCGCAAAACATTCTTCCGTGAATGGACAGAAAGACGAGGAGGGCGCGTCAGGTGGGTGGAAAATGGACGTTGCATTATTAACCAGGCTCGACTCCGGAATTCGGGGATCAGGGAGACAGAGATGGAATAAAGACAGAGGGGCAGGTGGGGATGGTAAAACGCGAGAGAGAGAAAGAATCGAAGTTTCTCGTCTGAGAGTGGACGAGAGCAGAGGCCGTCCTCTTTTCCGTACAACCCTACTGCACGCCGCCCCTGGCCGGTCCCCGGCTTCAACCCTTTTCCTGCTCGGCACATCGCCACCGGTTTCATCAGCTCGCGATTAATTTTAATCTAAAACTACCCGCAAAGCCTCTGGTCCCGGGTTTCACGTTGAGGTCGACCCCTTTCGCCCCTCCTCGCGGAGAGAGTGCCAGATTGGCCCGCAGCTTCCAACCCTCTCCACCCTCGATTCCTGTCTGTCTAGCCTACGCGTGGATCGAGAACCGACGTTTGCCAGGCACCAGGCTAAAGCTAACTTGCCGACACGATTAACTTCCACCCCATCCTCCCCTTCGAGATCACCGTGATTTTCGTTATAACATACCAACGTTTAGTTTTTAACCGCAAGTCGATCCACAGTCTCGAACTTAGGAATCTCTAATTGCAAAGTTCAATGTTTCCCCTGAAAATTTGTTTCTACCGGTTCTAGCTGATCGTTCTTAATAAACGAGCAAAAAGATGAACGGCTCGGTATCGAGCTTGGGGGTTCTCAATTTTTCAATATTCCCCGTACACGACTTGGAACGTAACCGGATTACGGTTCGAGAATAGCTTTTTCGGCTCGAGGGACCACACCGGGATCGGTGGGATGGCGGCGGTGCTCCCTGAGAGGAGAGCACCCGATTAATATACATATCGCGCGAGCTCCGCGCGGTATTTCAGGCGGTCCCGGTATCCGCGAGCTCCGACAACCCCGTGGGCTTTGAATATCAACCAATTTCCTGCCGATATTTGTGTGACGAGCACTTCACCGGCAACCGCGCGTGAGTGCAATCGCTAATACCTCGACTGCTTCTTTTTTCACGACTCCTCGGCCTGCCTTCGTTACGCCAATGTCTGTCTACCGTTTCACGAGGATTTAACCCGTTTGCATAGACAATCATGGTTTTACACCAATTATTGTACTGATGAAAAATTTTACCTATTGTTATATCGACCTTTTTAATATAATTATCAGACGGAAGATTTAACTTGATGTTTAGGCAACAATTTGGTCTATCAGCAACAACAGCAATACGCGAACGGAACCAGAGGTTCTCCATCTCCTAACAGACCAGCCAGCAACTCCTCGGCTGCTTCCCAATGGCAGTCGACAGTCTCGGCTTCGGGCGAGGCTTTCTTCCCTCGACAGGAGAATTGGAATTCGGAAGTGTACGGAAAAAGAAGTGTGACTCCCACGTGGACAGAATTAGGAGTTCACTTAGAAGGTAGGAATCCACCGTGGGAGAGACAGGGTGGATGCTACCAGAAGAAAGGCTCTCCCAGTTCCTGGAGCACGGAATATAACGGGAAGAGGCCATCGTCTGCCACGGGAGTGTCGCCTTGGAGCGAGATGTCTGTTGGATACCAACAGCAACGTCGAGGGTCTCTCCAATTGTGGCAGTTTTTAGTTACTTTGCTAGACGACCCGGCAAATGCACCTTGCATCGCGTGGACCGGACGTGGGATGGAGTTCAAGTTAATCGAACCAGAAGAGGTATGACATTGACAAGGATTTGCCAAGGGATTGTAGATTTCACCCATTTTCAAAGTGCACACATGATAGATCATAAGTTGTACACAACGTAACAGTTAGATGATAAAAAAATTCATATCTATGTCAGATTAGTAAATGGATACCATGAATCCTTCACTTTGCATGAAAATCCTACAGTAGTTTACAACAGTAAAATAAAATTGCGTTCAGGTGGCTCGAAGATGGGGAGTTCAAAAGAATCGACCGGCGATGAATTACGACAAATTGAGCAGATCGTTGAGGTACTATTACGAAAAAGGAATAATGCAAAAGGTGGCCGGTGAAAGATACGTGTACAAATTCGTGTGCGACCCGGAAGCGCTTTTCAACATGGCATACGGGACCGGAGCCTCGTCCAGCGTTTCCAGCGAAGTACAAAACGGCGTTCGGAGCCAGTCTGCAAAGATATCTTCGAACGAGGTTTCCGATTTAGGAAAACATTCGTCCACTGGATACGGCGATGCAGTTCTCGCCATGTATTCCAACACTGCAGCCGGTCAGCAGCACATTAAAAAATCATCCCTTAGCAAATAGTAATTCGCTCGCGATATTTCATTTCCTGTATTTTATATTTAATCTTTGTTGAAAACCAGTGTACGGACCATCGAGTCTACATCACCTGCACCAGTACCTCGGGAACGACGGATTCAAGACGCCACCGAACAGGTACCACCCCCATTATTCGCACGAGTACAACAGTAGTCACCACCACCCGTCGTCGAGCTACGCAGAGACCTTCCTGAACTACGGACGCTTGTCGCACGACGTTCCGACCGTATCCCGGAACCAGGAATTGCCGAGGGTCTACCCTCAAGAAACGGAGGATATCACCAGGGAGCGAGATTCATCGATCTTGTACGACGGCGTACAGAGAACGCAATTACCGGCGGCTACTGCGATTTCGCAACCCACCTTGCTGGACGCTACTACCACCAGCTCGAAGATCGAACAAACTTCGTACGCCTGCCTCGGGGTAGGAAGCTGTGTATGCTGAATCGTCGTTACCGAAGGACGGGAAACGAAGAATCGATTTAAGAGAGAATCTCTAGCCGTAGATTATTCCCGATACACGTTATACGACTGTATAGACGACTCGAATATAACGTGTACAGGTGTTAAAAGGTACGCGATTTGAATATCGATGAGGCACTTCGGTGGCTAAATTGCTAACAGTATTACGAGGATAGACAGTATTTAATTATGATTCAAATCGCGTGCCGCACGTATTGTAAATAGCCAAACGAGATAAGAACCCTGTAGGAAGGTCTAGTACTTGTGATCGTAGTTACAAGAACAAGATCGAGTAGTTGAAGATATTGTAACTTCTGTACATATTGAATAAATTTATTGCAATAGTCTGTAAGTAAACGTCTTACCAGCATCATTGCCGAATTTATCTCATTGTGTCATCACCTTTCTCGTTATAAAGTAAACTATGCGAGGCAGCTGCGATTAACATAAATACTTAATTATGCGAGTTCGGTGAGTGTCAACTTTTCGAGCCGCGTCAACTTTTCTTCCCGTGTATTAACAGTCAGTGACGCAAGACTAAGGTCGACCGTGTATTTCGGGCTCTGACACATAGTAGATATGCTTACATCGGCTTCTCTCATTCTTGCCGACTCTCAAACCATTTACTATCCTTGTATCGCTGATGAACATCGACGCCGGGTCTCCGGTAAATCCACTGTCAGTCGTGCGGACGAAGTAGAAGAATCAAAAGTGCGTTCAGTGTTTTTGGCGAAACGATCTGCTTGAACGATACTGTCGCCAATCCAATTAAATTGATAATAAAAAAGCGGGCCTTGCACGCGGATCTGGTAAGTGTAATTAAAGTTTGTTTTGTACGTACATATGTGCTACGTTTTCATTAAGACTTCTCTCTAACTACATCTTCGACCTATCCTTATTTCAATATTAACATTCAAAGATTCGATTACCAAATTCGCAAGCATTTGGTTCATTGTCTGGCACGTATTGATCTTCCATAATCCAGCGACTACGTCAACGATAAAACTAACGTGCTGGCGTCACACTCGACTGTCCCACCGCCTGTTTGCAGTTCCCAATGATTGGCCATTCGGTTTAATCGATCGCTAGAGTTTCACTCACGCGTCTGCAACACGCGTTGCGACCTCAAATGAACCTCGATTACAGCATACAGAATCAATCCTGTTTTCAGCCATGGGAAAGAGCAAAGAGCCGGAAGAATCGGCGATGGGATTCAAGGACAAGCAGAAGGCCTTGGACACGTTGAAGGCACTGGACGGCCGCGATATCAGTTATCAGTACCACGTGATTACGAGTTTCGTGAGTCGCACTAAAAGAACGCTGCAGATCACCAGAGACGAGGAGAAATTGGCGAACCTCCGCGAAGCATTGAAAGTGTTCGAAGATTGGTTGACCGATTACAAGCAGAACAGTCGTGGCAAAGAAAACTTCGCCTACTTGCCTATCGAAACTATAAAAGGATTCAGGACTCTCGCTAAGAAATACGACGTCCTGGACGAGGAATTTTACGAGTATCTATCAGCTGGAAAGACTTGTTTCTTCAAATTGGATGACCATGCTCTGTATTTTTTGCAGAGCGTACAAGAAGGAGAAGGGGGACTACAAGAGTCTGCGGGCCGTTAAGATCCCGAGCGGGGAGCGCACTTGGGACATCGAGAGGAACCGAAGGTTGAAACAGATCACTGATAAGATCAAACAGGAGCACATACAATGGTACGAGACCGACGTGGGCGACTTCCGGGGACTCCCGACCAAGGAACACGTCCAGTGTATCATGCTGGGCTACAGCCCGGAACCGACCAAGTCGAAGAAACTCATAGCTCAGGTAGAGGAGACCTTTGGATCGGAAAATAACGAGGATATGGAAATCGAAAATGATAAGGATAAAGGAACGAAGAGGAGGCACAGCAGTTCGTCTAGCGATGAACCGGAGAAAAAAGTCGCCAAGCAAGAGGAGAAGCCCGAGAAAGAGGAAAACGGGCTCAGTTTCAAAGATAAAGAGAAAGCTTTGCAGAGCATCAAGTCGCTCGACGGCAGGGATGTGTCTTATCAGTATCACGCGATCGCCGGCCTCGTGAAAAGGGCCGAGCGGGTGATATCCTGCACAAAGGACGAGCAAAAGATCGCGAACATGAAAGAGGCCGTTCAAGTGTTCGAAAATTGGATCACGGATTACAACGTGAATGGTCGGGCGAAAGAGAACTTCAATTACTTGCCCCAAGACTTGGTCAAGGCTTTCAAGCCGCTGGCCGAGCGCTACAAAATCGAAGATAATGGATTTTTAAAGTAAGCGCATTTTTTACATATAATATTATACGCATAGTTGAAATAGGTTTATAGTATAGCTGGATTTTGATCAAGGAGTGTATTTACGGTAAGTTCTGGTCTGTTGTCTAGAGCGTACGAAGAGGTGGAGGGAGATTACAAAAAGTTGAGAAACGTCCAAGTTCCAGACTCGAGCGTCACGTGGGACATAGAGAGAAATAAGAATCTCCGGAGTCTGGTGCAGTGCATCAAAGAAAAGAACATTCAGTGGTTTGAGACAGACGAGGAACTTCGCGGTCTGCCCAGCGAGGAACACACTCGATGTATAATGTGGGCTTTTAGCCACGATGCCGCGAAACTCAAGAAACTTGTGCCTACGCTGGCTGAAAAGTTGAAACTCTGAACGAAGTTCTTTGCGACTCGTTTGTATGTATAGATTTACATACGTTGAATTATTTTTATGTGTACAAAAGAATTTAGTTATAGTTTCGTTTAACGATTGATAATAAAGCTAACTTATTTTCCACATCTGTATCGTATTCGATTTTTCGTCCTACTGGCGACATCTGTCGGACGGTAATGCACTATCGCGACATCGCCATCTTTATTTTCATCGGCTCTGAAATTTCAAGATGGCGCGAGTTGTCAAAGTTTTTTAACCGCGGCACGCTCAATCGATAGTTTTTATCGCCGTTGCACGGCTCGCGAGGGTGGGTGAGTCTCCAGTCCGGTTTTGAGGTTAGGGTTAGTGACTCGGTGACACTGGAAAACGGCGGTTACGGGTTCTCGTTTGTGCGCGGCGGCAGTGGAAAAGTCGGAACTGTCTCACCCTCCCCGACCGATCCGGCGTTAAGACGTACGCCCCGTGCGGTTCTTGTTATCGAATCTGTGAAATAGATACGTACATGCTACGAAAAATTAGATAATGGCCCGCGCTCTTTACGTCAGTCTGTTTATACCCCGTGCACCAGCAAAGTCCTCCGGAACAAGGGAATCTACACACTTTAGGCGGTCTAAAAATAGCCACTGAGGTTCGTAGACCTCTCGTTCCTCGAACGTGATCTCATCCGTTCAAGTTTCCCATAGTATCGTGATCGATTTGATGGGTGATCGCGATGCAACACGTGACTTAACGATCCATCGCGTTGATACGTCCTACATATTCGATTCTCGAGCGGGAAGTCGGGAAGAATCAAGGATTATGTTCTGGAGGATGTACCGGGAAAGAAACCCGAGATAATAGTGACGGTGTAAGAGGAAGAGCTACTTTTGAAACGCAGCGAGGAGAGAAAGGAGACGATGGACAGGAAAGGACTGGATAGTGCGCCGATAGTTCGTCACAATGGATAAACGAGAGGTAAAGTGAAGATGTCACAAACCGCGGATGCTGAGAGTGAAGCAGGCTCCATCTGCGACGAGGAACGCATCAGGAAGCTGTTCCAAGCATGCGACGGCGACGGAGATGGTTTTATTGACAGGTAAGTCCGATCAATTTGCATAGAAATTACTTCAAATCGACCGGTACGCGCGTACAATTTGCCGGGTACCTATGCGCCAGAACGTCTGACACAGTTTAAAAAATTGCCAGAATGATAGACGAAAAATCTCGGTTTACGTGTACGTAAAGCAAGGTTGAATAGAAAAGTTCGGTGGTGACGGTGGTTTTAATTATTAGCCCGATTAATTAGCCGCATCTGAATGCATGACGATGCCACGAATTAAACTGGGAACGCGTTCTGTTTTTTCCACCGCCGCCGGATGAATAAACTTGCGAGATAATGCGGACGCGCACGCGATGCAGCCGCACGGTTTTTCATTAAACGCATAACCGTTTCCCCGATATTCAACCGTTTCCCTATTTCCCTCTGTTCCACCGTTCCACCATTCTTCGGTGCCGTGCGTTGCTCCCGCTGCGACCTACTCCATTCAGTGCATTTTAGCGAAAATTAGCCGTCAATTCCTCGCTCCAACTTCCGACCCCGCGTCTCGCATTCTTTTTCTCTAACGTCGAGCGAGTTTGCTCGCGAGCAAGTACATGCATGTGCGCGTCAAAGCGCGTATCCGCAAAAGCCGAACTGGAATATGGATTAGAAACTTCGTTTCAGAAGTTCCTCAGAGTTTTCAATACAATCGCGTGTATGCGTTTGATTATGAATTAGCGTGGGTCGCGCGACAGAGACTGCATACTTTTCGAAACGAAACGAAACAGGTTTATTTGTACTTTCAGCCACAAACGTGTTTGCAGCGTCGATTTTGTTCGCGGTTTGCGAGTAGAGTTAAATGGGGCGATTAGTTATTCTCGAGGAAGCAGTGCGTGGCATGGCGCACGCGTGTGTAAAGAAACATCCACGTTCTGGGACTATTGACATTTCTTCCGCTCTCAGAACCAGCTCCTCCTTTTTCGCCTTTATTTTTATCCCTCTGTTTTATTTAAAAATGTTTTCTAACAACAAACGTAGTGTAGGTAAGAATACGAAAACCCTCAAAGAGGCGTGCGAAACGAGTGGAAAGAAAACACATCCCGCGATCAAACAAAAGGCTATTATCGTAAGAACATCGACACCGTGATACGTTCTGCTGGTAAGATAAGCTCGAATTTTTATCTGCCACGATTAGGGGAATACTGAGATCGTGGATAAATCCTCCTGATAGAGTTAGCAATTATTTTTTTACCGCAAGAACAGGTTGCGAGTTCTTGTTAGCATCAGTGCTTTGTAGTAGCGGCGAAAGATTTATCGGGCTCGATCGACCGATCGTATCTCGTCGCTCGCAACAAGTTCCCCGATTGTTTTTAACTGAACACCATTCTCCGCCGATTAAGGCTCCTCCCTCGCAATTACCACCAGGGTTCATTTGTCAGCCCACTTGCGTCGTAATAAAAATTGATACAACGTTTCATATAATGATTGATGTTATAATTCATGTATTAATTGAAGTGAAAAGATGTTTGTGAGGGGAATAGTTGGAAATTGAAAAAACGGTAATTTTCATATCTGTGCAGGGTCAGCTGTTGCCGAGCGGTAGAAGTGACTTTTAGCCAATTAAACTCTCCGTCGCGAAGATGATATTCGAGCGTTCTCAGGCAATTTCCGTTGTGTGCACAGACAGAGCGAGCGTTCTATGCGTCGATAATAAAGGCTTTCTGTAATTCGAGGGGCTCGGGAAGTCAGCGTTGGATGGAAATGGGGGAGAGAAGGAAAAAAGGGAAAAGAAAGACGGAGAGGTGGAACGAGCCGGAACGTTTTCGCGTCTCTCTGTGTGTAAAACTCGCCATTCCCGTGGCTCTACCCTCGGAGAGATCGCTCTCTCGAAGAGCTTCTCACCCTTCGACTTGTACTACTTCTAAATGCTCCCCCGAAACGTTTTCTCCCTTGTCTTACCTCGCGATTACCGCACCCCCGTGCCGCTTTGATATATCGTAGAAATAGGCAATAGGAATACGAATTCACCGTCGCAGTCTTCTTTCCTACTCTGCCGGTTCTTTTTTTTTCTTCTTTCTTCCGCTGAATCAGTTTCATGGATCAATAGCTCGCGAGATTATTCCGCGCGTCGACCTGCACAATTTCTCGCACCACCGCGAGACTGCGAGTGGAAATGAGCTGCGGCTGAATCGATCCCAGACTTTATTAAATAAATGGACCGATAGTCAAGCATATTGGGTAGAGAGTAGAAAACGGGAAGAGAGAAGTTTTTCTCAAAATATCTCGAAATTTTCACGAGCCTCTCGAGCACACCTCGCGGCTCAATTTTCTCCGGTTCTCACTCATCCCACGCGAGCACACGTGACTTAATTAAGCCCGCGGACTCTTCAGCACCTGAAGGGTGCTTCGGGCTAAATTCGTTTCTATGGAGGAGCAGCATTCTTTTCTTCGAATCGTCCCAGAAGGATACTACCCCGGCGTAACGGCACAATACTAAACTCTACTTAAACGCGAAGGTTCGAATTAAAGGGGTAGACGCCATTAGTCGAAGTTCACAAGAGCGAAATCTCCTTTCCTTTTCGAGGTTCATTATTGTCCGTTCTCGGCAGCCTCGTTAACGCTAGCCCGACGAGAATCGCGTGTCCCATCCACGACCCGGTGCCACGTCTCGTTGGCTTCGTAAGCTTCCGTATCTCCACCGGACTCCCCTTTCGAAACTCGCTGCACTACTCGGCGTGCATCCAGCCGGATGCGACCTCCGGGACTGCCAACGAAACCGAACGCTCAAGTGCATACTCCCGCGACTTCCTTCTTCGTCTTGCTTCTACTTTAACCCATGTGCCTCTTTGTCCATCTTCCGGTTCCTCTCGCACTTTATCTATCACCCGTCCCTGATTTTCTTCTCCCTTAATTTCATTTCGTCCTACAGTTGCCCCTACGCAATTGTCTTTTACAGTTGTCATTACTTTATGTTCGTAGGGGCCACCCCGGCCAATAAATCCACCCTTATTTTTCCTTCGCGATCGTTTCTTTTCGTCTCCCTTACCTCTCGAATCTAACCCTTCTCGGGCAGCAAATACCCTTCCTCCTCGCCAAGGCCAAGATCAAACGATTCAGGCCGAATCGGCCAGAAGAAGAGTGTCTGGTCCGGAAAGGGTGAAGCTCGTTACCGAAAAACCGGTCTATAGCTCGTCTGATGAAGGGTGTACGCGCGATTAACTAATGAAATCTCTTACTCTCGAGTCTAGACGATTTATCATCAATAGACCTCACGTTTTATGCGTTTGGGGGAAGATGTGCAAAGGTGTATTAATATCAATGATAAAATGTTTGAAGGGTTGAAAGTCTTTTTTCTGCAAATTGTACATTGCGTACAGATTCGAAATTTAATCATCAAAGTTGTCTACCAGAGACTCGTACAAGTTTGAATTGAGATGTTATTGCCTTGAAACTGCACAAAGGAGTAATTACTCGATCGTCAAACGCCGCTACCGCATCGAAGTTTCCAAATCCCGCGCGTTCCTCGGAAATTTCTCAAAGTAGCTCGAACTCGTCGATTATCGAGAGGCGGTCGGATGCTTATCAGACGCACGATGCACCTCAGAGATCGCGATCGTCGCTTATCGATCCTGGGTAAACTTTCGACTCTCGTAAAACACCGCGGAGAAAAGCCACTCCCTTCGAAGAACTACAGTCGGATAAAACGTTTACGGATCGCGGTTGCCAAACGCTAGGATAGCCTAGGGTTCCTTGCGAAGGGTGATCGCGTTTTATGGCGAAGTGACTCACACCGGCTCTCAAACCCTCGTTTCTCTGTCACGATTATGTTCTGGCTTCGCCTGCGTCTGCACATCCCTTCCGTTTTCCAAAGAACCACCCCTGAATATGTTTTGCATCTATCGAGCAGATAGAGGAATATCGGAGAACTTACAAGTTTCAGAGTTTGAGTAATGAATTATATCTATGGCTCGGTGAAATACCAGTTACGAAGTTGATGGTCAGTTTATGAAAAATCCTGTTATAGTCATTTCTAGATTTAATTGGAAATTGTTCTTTTTACATAGAATATAGAATTGTCTATGAATTCAATACTGGGTTTCACTCAGTTTCATAAAATTATTATACTGGCGCTTTTAGACCATGATTATACTGTCGATAAGGGATGGATAAATCATAATTGCCAGATTGTATGATCATCGTAAACAACTTTAAGTTGGAAGGTGTTGTCGATATATATTTGCGAGGGAGGAATTTTGAAAAGCTGATGCGATAATTAAGCATCGGATGGTATCGCGGATGATTTACGAAGTCGAAGATCAATGCTAGGATATGCCTTTTCCACTCCTTCCGCTTCCTAGCGTTTCATGCCACAGTCGTAAACGTCTAAAGCCGAACGGCGAGTAAAAATGACTGGCCCTTTCGTTACTACTATATAATTTAAAGATCCCCTCGACCCTTGACACTCGATTAACCACGCAGTATACGCGCACGGATTCTTGTGGTCGGCTCGGGTCTATTCGTCCGCTCCTCACCTGCAGGGATAGTCTTGACCTGCCCGAACCCCTGCACGCAACCTGCCATGTAAATCCGTTCTATAGAAATTCTGTTGGATGCCAAGGCCATTGACTCCCACCCCAAAAGTAGATTATCGACTAACGACACGCTCATAAATTCTTCAATACACGATAGAATCATACATTTATTAAAAACGTAATTACAGCTCGTTAAATCTTAAATAATCTGCGGTAAAATCGTATTTAATACCATTGCCGATTATTTGATATTAGGACAGTTCAAATGGATATTTTTTTTAGCATTATTCCCGAATGCGAATGACAGAATTTTTCATGCGCTTGGGGAAAGGCCATCGAAAATTCCCTTTTTAATTGGCCATCCGATAATTATCGGATTCCCGCACGGCAGCCCCCCGTTTTGCTTAATTACGTGTCGCGTTTCATTCTCCATTTTTCCCTTGCGTGGCCGATCCTCGTAATTTCGTTAACCAGCTTTGGCCAGCACTCGATTCTCGCGCGATAAATTCCAAAATCCCGCGCCCC